GAGCTAAATATTTAGCTCCAAACTAAATCTTTAATTATCAAGTTAAATATTTAGTTACAACCTAAAAATCAACCTATAAACTAAATATTTAGTTTGATCTATAAATGAACGAATAACATGATGAAAATAGGACTTTGAAAAATTAACTCCAATTTTTTAAAATCTTAAAACAGGATAAATAACCCAAATTATTGCTGCTCATTTTTGACAGTGTAACTGTTTTCCCCATATGAAGCCTCAGGCCGAGGGATTCCAGAGACGTTTGTGAAGCAGATTCCAGTATTTTGGTCTGGGTTCAGACCCAGATCATCCCTAAAGCTGCAGGTTCCCCCCTGCCTGAGTGTTTTACCCCGTCAGGCTGCATCCAGAGATGTGCGCCGCGTTGCCCGTGTAGTCAACGTTACAGCGAGCCACGTTGTTGTTGAAGTTGGACTCTGGAACCTGCTGCCTGGGATTCACTGTCACCTGCAGGAGGACAGGAAGGCTAACAGGTTTATAGTCTGGACATGAGACATTTCACAGGTTGGACCCTAATATCTACTGTAACACCTGAACAGAGATGAAGAGAGGAGGGATTTTCACCTTCAGGATGTATTTTCCAGGCGAGACGTCGGTGATGTCGATCCACTGGCAGTCGATGTCGGCGCTGTAGGTGTCGTAACATCCGGGACTCAAACCCTGAACAGCAGCAAAAACAACTTCTTTAGATTTTAATACGTTAAACTATTTTTACGTTATGTCTTTATTCACAGTTTGAGCAGGTGAATCTTATTTTGGGAACCTGACTCTTCTACTTCCATTTTGCTGCCTTTAGAGGGCGCCACAGTGTAACAGAGCCATCACATCCATGAACTTTGACCTGTCTGGTGATGACTGTCTTGCTTTAACTATGCTTCATTCCTCCACCTTTACAGACCGTTGGGTACTGCTAACTAGCTAGCTAGCTAGCCCTAAAGCGCTACAGCAGCATTTAGTGGAAGCTAATGCTAAAGCGCTAACTTCAAACCCTGCAACACCATCTCAGTTTTATAATAAATGTATAATTTACATGTTCAGTAATTGTCATTGTGTCTGTATCTTGTTCTCTACTGTCTGTTTTATTTGTTCCTGAATGTTTCTTGTTTATAAAAATGTTGCTGGGAAACAAAAAAAAATAAATGTGAAGAATCAGACGTTGAGCAGGTGTGTGTACCTGGCTGTGTGTACCTGTGTGTGTGTGTGCCTGTGTGTGTGTGTGCCTGTGTGTGTGTGTGC